GTGCCAAAAAATAATCCATTTGGTGTGACTCATCTTTTTATATTTTCTATATTTCAAATTGTTCCTCACGTTTGTGAATTTTTTTGTTACTTCACTGCTTTTCTAAATTTGTTGAGTATTTGTTTCCTTCCTAAACTACACAGCTGTGTTTCCATCAGTTGCTTGCTTTCTATAGTTGAATGATTTTTATTTCTCTTTTAATTCCTGGTTGTCTTACCAAAATAACTTGTTTGTCCGATTACTTGGTTTAATATTTGTCCTTAGACACTTTGTGGTACACTACACTGTATGAAAGATGTTCCACAAATGAAGTTTGATTCTGTCTCCAAACTTTGCTCAGTCAACTACTGAGCAAAGTCTACTACTAGATATCTACTTTTAGTTTTATGATGACTTGAATATATGTCTATATAAATAGATCTTCTTATAATTTAGTGTATTTATGCTGGCTTGAACTGATTTCCGAAAGACTCGTGGAATTAGATCGAAGCCTGCAACAGCAAAAGTCGCTTCCTAACGTCCGAGGTTGGCGGTGCAGGCTCGCACGCTGAAATGTCTCTTTAAGAAGAAAATTATTTCCTCTCAATCCTGACTCCATCTCCTTGTTGCTGTTTCTGCTTTGAAGCATTTTCGTCGCCCCCCCCCCATTCCTCATCCTTTACAATGCCTGACAGGTTAATGAAACCACCTGTCATGTTGCAAGCTTCCACGCTTTGTAATTAGGCCCGTGATGGTTTTTGGGAGAAAGGATTTCTTTTTTGTCCTCCTTGACTGGCCCACATTAAACAATAAAAAGGGAGAGAAGCTGCTTGTCAGGGTTTGTTAAATCAGCAGACACCTTCCCTTAGGAAGTAAGAGGGTCAGTGTTTTGACTCATAGTTCACCAAGGAGTCAGTATCCGTTGTTCACTCCAAAGAAAGGCCAAACAGCAGCAGCAGCAGAGCTCCATCTTTCATCAGACCCTTGTTAGATATTATTGAGCTGCCTTCACTATGGTGTAGTTAATTCACACCGCCTGGCCCGACGCTGGCCGTCACATTCTTTCTGGAGTTGACACACACACACACACACACACACACACGCAGTCAGATCATCTGTAAATTTGGACCGCTCTGAAGTTGACCGTGCCAGTACACGGATTGCGTGCGTTCTCGCCGCACTCCGACCTCCCTTCAGCCCGACTTGGCCGCACGGAACAAACAAAGCAACAGATAGGTGTAAAATCTGTGTTCATACTGTTGGCAAGCGGCTTAATCTCAGCAATATGCTCCGTCACATTCCCAAGTGTTGACTTGTTTCTGCTTCAAGACATCAGGCCTGGGTTTTTACCAGCGTTGACTGCTGTGGACTGTTTCCTTTTTTTTTTTTTTTTTTTTGTCTGTTGCATTTCTGATCTGAGAGGAAGAGAGTGTGTTCTTATTTTAACCTCTGCATGAGTGTAGGTTTCTAAAATCATCAAAGCTTCTCTGTTTGAAGACTCAATCACATTTTTCATCTTTTACCCTGGGATAATTGATTAATGAAGCTCTACTTCATGTCAAAACTGAATATATCAGTAATTCTTTTGATCTTAATAGGTCAAAGAGATAGGCCAAACAAGCTACATCGGGCCAGTGCAGATTTCTTCTCTTTTTTTGTTACATTTAAATTATAGAACGTAAATAAAAATGCAGTTTTCAAATACTTTTAATAACTTGTTAATGAAATTACTTCATTAACAAGTCAAATCACAAATGACTTCTTCATTAATCCTTTCTCCTATAATGAGCTTTGCAGATGTGAAGTTCCACCAGCTGTTTGCTGTTTGCTCCTGGCTAGTCTGAAGGAGCTGAGTAGGGAAGGCTGCTCTGTGAGGCGGAAGCTTGGAAGCTGCTGTTCTGAGGAGGAGCTGTGTCTGGAAGGAAGGCGGAGCTTGGCCCACCCAGGCGTTTTGAAAAGCTGAACGGTTGCCATGGGAGATTAGGATTATTCAAACATGCATGAAAGAATAAAAGCAACACTCCTGATATGTTTATGATGAGGGGATTACATCACAACATGATGTAAAGCTTAAAAAAAGCAGATTTTTACATAACACTACCCGTTAAAAATTGAAGTCAAAACTAATTAGATAATCACCAGTTAGTAACTCACAAGATAGAATAAATATGCTAGGATTAACTTTTCATCACATAGAGGTTTTCAGCCTTTTCTCCACTCTTTTCGCCTGTCCTCACATTCCTCATGTTAACAGACAGCTGTGTGCTGCTCTGCACCAGAAGCTGTTATGAAATATCGAGAAGCCGAGCCGGACTGTGTCGAGTTTTTGAGCAGAAAAGGAAACGGCTTAAATCAAGAGAAAGGGGGCCACAATTGACTTTAACGCACTTCACTCACCCCTCGGTTCAGCAGGAGGCTGTCTGACCTAAATTCACTTTACCTCATCTGCCTAGACATTTGTTTAGCCTTCTGGGCAAACACTTACACAAATGTAGGAAGGAGAGCGAGAGAAAGAGAGAGAGAGGTGGAAGGGGGCTGAGGAGGGGGCTGGGGGTTAAGAAGAGAATACATATGCTTGAGTACATCACACGCAGCGAAGTGGAGGGAGGGAGAAGCAGCTGTACACGTCGGACATGTGCAGCCGTATACAGCCCTCTAGTGGCAGACTGCAGAGGGACGGCGGCGTGTGAACGAGAGGCCACGCTCTGATTTATGCAGAGCGGCTCAGACCGCGAGCGGAAGCGCAGCCCGGCCAGAAGGACCGGGAGCACGTGCACGTTCCTCTGTTTTGACATCAGAATCATGGAGTTCTGTGTAACAGAGCAGATAAACGTTACCTAACCCACAAACAAGACGAGTCACGAGCGAAAGCCAGAACGACAGGAGCCGAGCAGCAGCACGAGCGAATTGAGGTCATAAAATCTTACCATCAGAAGGAAACGAGACGAATTTTTCTTTCTCTCTCTTTTTTTTTTTTTTTTTTTTTGTCTTTTTAGTAGCGAACTCATTACAGTGGCCCGGAGGATCTGTGTGCTGTGAAATCATATGCTCCAGTTAAGCTAAACAAGGGCAAGGTATTCCCACATGAAGGCCAGATGAGAATAAGGAAGTAGGAATGCAGACAGACGAGTTGAGGATGGTTTAGTGCTGCTTGGCCCTGGTGTCTTACTCGCGTTCTCAGGTTGTAAATATGCCCCCCCAACACATTCGCACACACACACACACTCACACGCGCACACACACGCGCGCCCCCCTCATTCCCTCCATCTCTCTACCTCAGAGTGTGTGAGCGCGAGGCAAACCTCAAGGGTTCGGAGCAGCGAGCTCATTAAAGGCTTTATTCCACTTCCAGGATCGCGCAGGATTGCAATATGGACATTGTTTACACACAAATGTTGCCCTGGGAATAATGTTTATTTCTATTACCATCTTGGAGGCAGAGGAGGAGGAGGAGGAGGAGGGGGTGGAGGGGTGTTTGGGAGTGTGTGTTGGAGGTGTGGGGAGGGAGGTGAGGGCTTGTCTGCACACATTGCTTTTCATGAAATACAGCCTCTCCAGGCGTGCTTTGAAGAAACGGCCGTTTTTCAAACCGCTTTCTTCTCCCGCCTCGGGTCGTACATCAGCCCCCTCCACCCCCCCGTCTCGCTCTTCTTGCCCTCCTTCAACCCCTCCGGTGCCACACCATCATGTAGCCAGGGTCTTATCAGGAGGCTGCCGTACGTAGCGGGGAGAACGACCCTCGTTCCGACGGGAAAGAGGGAGGGAGGACAGCGTTTCCCGCTCATTAGCATGTAAACTATAAATGTCAGTGCGCGTGAGACGCAACCGGCGTGAGGGGCAGCGGGGAGTGGAGAGGATGGGTTTACCTCGGCCGAGCGGTCACATAAGTGTCATTTTAAACGGCGGGGCCCCCCGAGCGCATCTGGGAGGCAGCGCGTGACGCAGCGCAGTGTTGCTACACACCCGGAGCTGTGTTTGGAAACACTGAGGCAGCTTGCTACTACGGCGGGGGCCAATGGGAGCCGCTGAACCGTGCTCTGTTTAGCCCAGCCAAGCGCACAGACAGAGGGAGAGGACGGGGGAGCGGCGGGGAGGGGAGCGATGCAGAGATCCAGGAAATGCCTGAGCGAGAGGCTGCGACAGCGGGGGCCCATCAGCTCACTCACACACAGCCTCATCAGGTCACACATTGATCACCCTCCCATGATATATTCCCCCCTCCTCCTCTAGCAGCGCCGCCGCTTAGAGAGCCAGTCGTTATTTATGAAATATTGAAATAACAAATGGCCTCTCTGGGCAGATATTAAGAAGAGAGATGCCACAGATAAGTCAGAGCCGGGCGTCAGCCGCGCCATCCCCCCACCAGTGGGCTGCCTGCCCAGTCGCCTGGCTGCAGAAAACCTGCAGTCATCACAAAGTGGAAATATTTACAGCGTTCGCTCTTGCATAAGGCAGAATGGCGTGAGGGAGAGAGCGGCTGAAAAATGACTGTGTTTGTGTTTGGAGGTTGGGGAGGCGGGAGGCGCTAATCAGATTCCTTCAGCTTCAGAGGCATTTAAGGACAGCTCAGGCAAAAGGTCTGCTGTGTTGGTTGCAGAAGCGGAGATTCAAATCATACGTTTCACGTTAGAAGATGTTGACTGAAACCTGCTGGAGATCCTCCTCTAATCTGGAGGAAACTTCCAGAAAACTACAAAACTGCTGAAACACTGAGATCCTTTAAATCCAGGGTAAAAACCCACCTGTGTACAGCTGCCTTTAGTTCATAAAATCATGAACATTGACCAACATATCTAACGTGCATCTACTTGATGATTTTGATGATGGCATTTGACAAAATGTAATGTTTATCGCATGTGTCATAATCAGTTACGATGTTTTTTTGATGTGAAGCTCTTTGAACTGCCTCAAATGTTGCTGAAATGTGCCGTACAAATGGACTTGACTCGACTGTCAGCCAGTCGTTAGACGATTGCAGGCCTTTGTTGCGTAACTTCGTGTGTGTGTGTTTGTGTTTGCAGAACACTCTGGAGACCTGCAACATCTGCAGTAAGCCAATCATGGAGCGCATCCTGCGGGCGACGGGTAAGGCCTACCACCCCCACTGCTTCACCTGCGTGGTGTGTCACCGCAGCCTGGACGGGATCCCCTTCACCGTGGACGCCTCCAACCACATCCACTGCATCGAGGACTTCCATAAGTACGCAGCCCGACTGGTCCCAGTGCGGCATGGGCTCCTCTCAGCAGGGTGTCCACACAGCTTTTAACAATCTTTAAAACTCACGCATCCAAAATTAACACCGTCAAATGTCTTAAATTCATTTTTTTTTATGTTTGCCTTAAAGATGCTGATCACAGATTTTAAATTTTGCTGTTGCTTTTCAATCTTTTATTTATTTATTTCGTGGGACTTTTCCGAGGCGTTTCCGAAGGAAAGTATTTCTCAAAGACCCGATTGGACGAGCAAAATGAACTGTAACGCGATTGGACGAGCACATCATCATTAACGTCTGTCATTTGACTTTTCTTTTTCTAAATATTGATAATTTACTTCTCTAGCATCAGGCTTTGGTTGTTTTATTTAGTTTCACAAGCTTTTTGTTGTGACCGAGCGTTTCAGAAGACGTCGATACAACAGGAAGCAGATTCACATCAGCGAATTCCCCAGGACAATCGCTTCCACCTACCTTAAGACAGAGCGTCCGGTTACATTTCAAAATAAGAGCATCAATATAAATCAAACTGTTTTGACAACAAACAGTAGTGATTTTTCAGAGATGTTTGTAACTGTGGAGGTGTAATTGTTGAAATGTTGCCATTTCGTTAAAGAACAAAATCCATTTTGCTTAGTGGAATAATCTGAAAGTAGTTCAAATTAAAATAATAAAGGAATAAAAAATAAAATGATCTCTTGTGGCAACCAGTCAGCAGCACAAAACACTTCCAAGCAGAACTTTTACGTCAGAAAGGTAAACAAAAACATATTTACAGACAAACAACGTTTCCCTCTTATTCCCGCTTATTACTGGTCTGAGTATGGTGAGTCTGTGTACTCAGTGAATTAGTTGACCATCATTTCAATAATTGATTCATCCTGATTAATTCGATTAATCGTTTCAGCCCTAGTAAAATCCCAAACCGATTCGTTGAAGTTTGTTGGTTTGAAGTAACAAAATGCAGAAGGAATATTAGTACATGCAGGGAATCATGTTTCTAAATGTTGCTTCTGAATGTGGGACTTTTTCCCTCTCACATGTTCATGACCTGAAATGCCGACCAGCTCCATGCAGCTCCGCCTGCCGGACCTTCCAGACACCGCCAGAGTATCTGGATCATTTTCTCGTCAGCATTTAAACACAGGAACCCGTCGTAACGCTCCATCATGTTTTTGGCTTATTACTATTTATTACCGCTGCGGTGCGGTCCGCGCCGGTAACGCAGGATCTCCGACTTCCTTGAAGGGGATTACGGTCAACGTTTTGAGAAAGCCTTGTGATCCTTAGATGTGGACATGAAATTTAATGGCGCATTCCTGTCACTGCATCAGACATCAGGGAATTGCGTAAGCAGCATTTTTACCAGAAATGTTTTTCTCCTCAGTGACCAGAAGGGAAACCGCTGGCTTTCAGTGTGTGTGTGTGTGTGTGTGTGTGTGTGTGTGTGTGTGTGTGTGTGTGTGCGCACACATTGTGCCACGCTGTGTATTTTCACATAGCAGCCGGGCCTTTGTTTCGAGGAATTTTGGAGCCTCGGCCCTGTTGCTGCACGGCTGTGGTTCCCCCACAGCCACACCAGAAGCCTTAACTTCCTGACTGATACTGAATGAATAGAGGAAGCGTTCGCCTCACTTCTGGTCACTGAACGGGACCTACATTCAGTCAGGTTCTTTTTTTCCTTTGGGTTTTTTTTTTTCAGATCCTCATTACTATTGTTAGAAAAACTTCTTCTCCGCAAGGCATTTCCAGAGTTACACTCGTGAAGTTTTGTTCTGTAAACGAGGCTCTGAATGTCTGCTCTGCACAGTCAGTAAACAGAGCAACTTTTTTTTAAAGCTACAGAGTGAAAAGCACCAGCTGCACCGCCTGATGTGTGGGAAATCTTTCCACATTGTTTCATTGTTGAACAATGAATTGCACGGTGTTTCAAGAGAAAAGAAAACAAATGGATGCAAATGTACAAGAATTTGTCCTTTATAAATCCTCTAAAGTAAAAGTAAAGCAAAATCAGTTTTAGCTGAATTCTACTGATTTGCACTTTTTTTTCTTCTTTTTTTTTTTTTTTTTTTTTGCATCTCGCCACAAAACAAACCCAAAGCTGCGTGTATTTTATTTAAATTCTCCGCAGCACACCAACACAAAGTAGTGGAGAATTGTTAGAAAAACTCTAATAAATTGTTTCATTTGTATTCAGTCACTCAGGGTCAATCCTTTGCTTCACTGGAGTCACAACTGCAAGTCTCTTCAAAATACATGTGAGCTTTGAACTTTAAACACACATGTGTTTAAAGTACATGTGCCACTAGTACATTTCAACTAGTGGTGAAACGCTACTGAAGATTTTAATGAAGTTATTTGCAGGGTCTGCATTTAAACCAAATGAATCGTATTTGAATTGAAAACTACATCTCAACAAAATGAACATTTTCAATTCAAAACCCGTTTCAATGCTAAGAGCTCAACAACAAAAATGTTTCTTGTTTCTAATCTGTTCTTTAGGTTTTTAGCATTGAGATGCTGTTTTATGCTGGATTAGCTTCGCTGATAGTTTAACTAACTTTCACACAGCAATAGACTTTTCAAGCGTCCCATCAGATTGTCTTTTTGGAGCGAAAATGAATCTCCAGATGGCCGAAAGAAGCGGCTTTGTCCTCTATTGCTTGTGCATCAAATTGACAGGCGTATCGGAAACACACGAGTACAAAGGTTCCGCGTGGGAACTGTGTACGCAAAAAAAAAAAATCAAAGGAGTTCAATAACTTTAAAAAAAAGCACTTCAAAATGTATGTATTTAGTTGAAATTGGCATGTTGATTTAAACCATTTCATTGCAGCTCTGACTGCACAGGTGCATCTGAATAAATGGGAAAACTATCGAGAAGTTAATTAATTTCAGTGACTGAGTGAATCACATTATTTAGAACTGCTACACAAAGATGGATGTTTTCAAGGCTTTATTTCAGTTAATTATTACTTTCTTTGTTTGTTTTTGCTTCCATCGACTGAAACGTGACATTTAAGATCAGAATATGACATCAGGCCAATAAAGTTGGATTATATTTAGGCGGTAGCTGCACAAAATATAGAGTTTTATTTGTGAATCACAGAGTTTCAGCTCGTGCTTTATCATCATCATCATCATGTGCTGCTGTTCTGAGCTCCTCTCTGCTGTCTCACACAGGAAGTTTGCTCCTCGCTGCTGTGTGTGCCACGAGCCCATAATGCCGGCGCCGGGCCAGGAGGAGACCGTCCGCATCGTGGCCCTGGATCGTGACTTTCACGTGAAGTGCTACCGCTGCGAGGTACGTGTCCACACACACACACACGTGTGTGTGTGTGTGTGTTTCTTTGCCAGGTATGCGCAGCGTGAAGCCTGAACTCGCAAGCTCGTCCCTGAGTCACCCTTTTCAAGGAGAGACGAGTGAATCATCGCTCTCTTTCCAGCTCCGAAATAACTTTTGCTCTCTCCCGGGCGACGTTCACGAACTCACACCGCAGCCAGTCTGTCAGAAGCCCGCGCGATTAGCCGATAAGTGCCGCCGAGACAATGTGTGCCCGGCTGAAGGAGACGGAGTTCATCACGTTGTCAGAGAGCCGCGCTGGTGCGAGCGCGCGGCGCTGCTGGCAGATGGAAAGGTCAGAGGAAAGCAAGGCGGATTAGCTCAGCTGAAGAGGCTCAACAAGAGAAGAAGTTTGTCACCAGGGAGCCAGAAAGGATGGAGCAGGAAGGAGGGAGGCAGAGGTCGACTGTAGGCTTTAGTTGCAGGCAGTAGGGATGATAATGACAACTCTATCCTCCTTCTACTTACTGAACAAAATAAAACTAAAAAAAATTACTTTTTTTTTTAAGCAAATAGGAAACCAGATTCAGTACACAGACACGTATAGTTCAGGTTTTGGGTTTTTATTCACTGTAATAAACTCAGTCTGTGTGTAATTAACCTCGAAATTACACAACATTCACTTATTTGCATTGAATTACTGAATAAAAATGCAGTTGTCATGTTTTAATTCTCGAGGAAGCATCGGAACCGGCCCCTGGCATACTAGAGCTCTGGTCCCCAAACTAAAAATGAAATCAGGTTTTTCTCAGAGTCCGTTCCTCCATCTGCATTATGTCTGTCCTTGATACACCTGAACGAGTCCTTGACTCATATTCTCACATTTTTGAATTTGAAAATGTGAAACTGAAAAGTCTGACGTTGAGATTCTTTTCAAATGACGTTCACTGCCACTTCTGACCTCGCTGACCTTCTGCTCGGCCTCCTTCACCACTCGGCCGAGCCATTTCCAACCGAGCAAGTGAAGATATCTGTTGAGCTGGAAAGGTTTTATTCACAGCAAGAAATTATGTGCTTTATCATAAATGTAGCTGCAGCGCTCGTTTTTTGTTCACCTGTGCCGACGTCCTCCAGGACTCGAGGTGTCTGTTGTCTTTTCGTTGTTAGAAAAGGTCAGCTGAGGTAAATCTGGAAGCTTCCTTCCAGTCCTGCTGCGCCGATGTTCTCCGACGCGATCAGAGAAGTTGCTCTGCACTCTGACATAAACAGACGTGATTCATTATAACGTAGCTGGGTCTTTTCAGGAAACACTTTTTTCATCCTCTTTTTTTTCCACTCATAATGTTGTCAAGAAACAGCAGAAAAGGCCAAGGTGCTGCACAGCGAATAACAAAAACAGGCATATTGAAAATCCAAGCTGTAAATGCTGCAAGGTTGCAGAGCGATTGAACAGACTGACAAGTCAGTGCACTTTTAAATGCTGTTTACACTGTAAAAATGACTCGCGATAACAAGCGTGATTCGGGTTTTCGAGGGGAAAAATTGGAGCCTGGAGAAGCATTTTTTCCTCTGACTTAAATTGTCAGATTTAACAACTAGATTAACACGATTAATTCTAGTCGTTCAGTGCCAGAATCAGGAGAGAGAAGTTTTAAATCTTACTCCCTTTTGCCTGTATGCATGTTGGTGAAACATTTTCAGTTTCCCCACGTTTGTTGGAATTTATATTGAATATTCATCAAGTATTTTCCAGCCACATAGTGACATTTTAGAGCACAGTCAAGTAACTAAGTTACTATCAGTTGTTTTCTGTTGTTTTCTGTATGTATATCAAACACTGACTTCACATCGCAGTCCCATATGATGCCTTGAAACTGGCCTCTGTCTCTTTAAGATCCCTTTCAGACACGCTGCCGAAACAAAGTGCAGCGCATTTTACCTTCTATATATAAAGCATCATCAAAATCAGAGCAGCAGAGTCTTTTGAAAACATATCTCCAACTAAGTTTGTAGACAAAGTCATAAAAGACAACAAACCCTCTTTGTTATAATCTGTTAAGCAGATTATTTCTATACATTTTTTCTTCATTTCATCGTGTTTTGCAATAACGTCTGGCACAATTTAAAGGTTTGTATATTGGGCTCAGCAGAAGCGCAGTTTGCTGCCACTAGTCTGGAGGAGCTTATGATAAATGGGAGGGACATTTGGGTAAATAGACGGAGCTTTGTGAAAGCCAGTGTTTAGGCGCACCCTGAATGGTGGCCAAACACTTCCTGGAGTTGGAGTCGTCTTCTTAACAGCGAGCGTGTGTGTTGCAGGACTGCGGCTGCCTGCTGTCTGAGGGGGACAACCAGGGCTGCTACCCTCTGGATGGACACATCCTCTGCAAAAACTGTAACACCAGCCGCATCCAGGCGCTCACCGCCAAGGCCACCACTGACCTCTGAGCAGCCAGCCCAGCCAGCCGCCCCGCTCAGCTCCACTGTGATTACCCATCAAGCGCTCTCTTCCTTCTTCCTTTCATCCCCACATCGCCATCCATTGAAGCTACACACACACACACACACACACACACACACACACACACACACACACACACACTTGTATATCCCTCTGTATTTATGTTCATCGTAAGATAGGAGAAACAGCATCATGTGTTCACCTTCGACACGTAGCACCAACACGGTACAACCACTGCGGGGAGGCTTTGTGTTACTGAGCTCTGCTTTAAAGCCAGATTCTAGTTGTAGGAAGTGAGCTGCTGCCTTTCATATTCACATATTGGGTATCAATCAGAAAATAATGCGTCGCCCGGTGTTATCATAAGTCACCATCTATATGGGCTTCATTGAAGTCAGGCTGCATGAGTTATTATTCATCAACCCAAATGCTTTTCCTCAGACTTCCCTCTAAAGGTCCAGTCTGCCTCACACGGATCCACCCTGCAGGTGAGGTCATGGCTGGACATGTTCGTGCGTGTGGCTGAATGCTGGTCCTTTTTTTTTTTTTTCTCCTCTCTCTCTTCCCGCCTAAAGTGTTTCTAAAATGCACAAGCGACAAACATTAGGGGGTAAAAACGGCATGGCGACGAGTCGAATCCAAGCCCACCGCCGCGTGAACCCACACCAAAGACCCGGCGTTGAACCTCAGCATTTCCCGTTTCCTTGGTTTAACATGCTAAACGCTAAACGCTGTTTACTCTCAGTACAAACAATCAGTTCCTGTCGAGAACAAAACGTTTGGTGCCTTTACGGCCCATTATTTTCCGACTCTGCTGTATTCAGTAGGTTGCCTTCAAATGGCCTAAACGGTGAAATCATCCCACTTCTCTTCAGATGGATGCAAATTTTACATATATATATATATATATATATATATATATATATATATATATATATATGAGTGTAGTATCACCCCCTTTATTTTAAGAGTTTTAAGAGATAAAAATGAATACACTCCTATGCAATTTTCAACATTAAGTGCATCGACACTTTAGAAAAATGAAATGACGAATAAGGAAATATTTTACGTGTACATATTGGAATGTAAGTGGCCTTATAGCAAAACCTGAGACCCAGGCTGACGTCGGTACGCTGTGCTGTATGTTGGCATTTAAGCTCAGCTTTTATATGTAGTGTTAGATTAAAGCTGTTGGGAGAACAAGGGACCAAGAAAGATTTCCTGAGAAGTTTTTGTTTTTGTTTTTTTCAATCACCATCTTTAATGTGCCAGATGAACAATTGGTTTCTTTTTTTTTCTCTCTTCAGTCGAATTGCTCCAGTCAGACTTGTGAGTATTTATGACGGGGGGGTTCCAGGCGCCGTGTGAAGTTTGAAACGGTTTTATTTTGTTGGCCGAGTGTCGTTTCCTAGAGGGGGGGAAGCTCCGCCCACAAGCTCCGCCCACAAACTGCGGTGAAACATTTTAAATGTGGATGGTCGGGTAAATCAAGGATTAAAGTAGCGACCCTGATGAGTAACACTAGAACCTTCCAGTAGCAAAACACCGGGGAAACTGAAGACCAATAAAAAACATTTTCTGATTTAATTTCGGAAAAACACTTTAACTATGGTATTCTCTCTCCTTGTTATTTCTTTTACCTATTATATGTTGTAATGACAACAGAAGTCATCTCTCTGCAGTGCATATGGCCTCACTGTAGATGTGAGTGGGTCACGGTGATATCATTACCATGCGAACACTATGGAAATAACTGCGCTAATGAGACTTTTACTTAACTCTCGAGTTCTGCCTTGATTTGACTTTTCCTTATAAAAAATTTTTAAAAAACTAGCATAAACTCAGAAATCGGCATGTGAGGCTTTTGGATGTCGGGGTGAGAAGGTGATCAGGTCGGTGGACAGAACGAAGCGCCTCAAGCAGGAAGGAAGCGAAGGTTAGGCAACCCGAGTCCTCAGAGTTCTTCGTCAATATTACGGCCCTCTGTTTGTTTTATTTGACAACCAAGTTCTTTATCTTGGTAGAGAAACCAAGCACACTGCGACATTTGGTTTATGAGTCTCCGTGTTGCAGAACTTTGAGACACTAAAATCAACTAAAATCTCCCTTTATTTTACACCAAAACTTCAGAAATCTGAACTGTCCCTTTAAAATGAAGAAGAGTTTCTGATTTCAGAGTGAACTAAATCTTGCCTGCCTGTCGGCGTCGGCTTTATGAGCAGGTTATCTGCACAGTGTTCCCATGTTTTACGTGTTCTCACTTCCTGTAAGCATGATATAGTTTCCAGTGTGACTCGAGGCCCCGGTCGCCTGTAAAAGTGCCTTTCATCAGATCACGACGCCGTACGTCTGATCCAGCCGTGCCTCAAAGATTTGACCTTGTTTATTTCTTTTCTAACCAAAGTAAATACAGTGGGTTTTTTTTCTAATTTTGGACACTTTGTGCCACAAGGAGCTAATTTTTTTTTTTTTTTAATTTGTGTTGATCAGAGTAAATTCTTCCAGCCTGTTGTCAGACTAAAGCGTCTGGTCTGGGTGTGCAGACAGGGGGCCGTCATGTAGTCCTGTACTTCTTTTTCTTCTTTAATAAAAGCTTTGCAAAAGCGTCGCGTCTCCTTGTTTCTTTTTAGTTTTCCCTCTAGCGTTCTTAATTATCCTGAAAAAAAAATGAAGAAAATGTATGCTTTTTTTTTATTTTTATGTTTTTCTCTTTTTTCTGATCCATGTCCAGCAGGCCCGGCCCGCCCTCCCCTGCCGCTTGTTAACACTTGGCCTTTGACCCCCAGCCCGTCGGATCGTGCCGGTTAATGAGCAGATTCTCACCGTCTGCTCGTTGCGTTCCCCTGGATTCTGCCTGTGACCTCTTGTTCAGACGTCCTGCAGACTAAAGAGGATTCTTTTTTTTTTTTTTGAGCGAGTGTACAAAATAAAACCGCTTTACGTATTTCAAGAGTCACTAAAGAAGCCCTCAGTGGGCACAAACACTCACTCAGACTTTGTTTTGAACATCTGAATGAACTCATCTGAGAGAAATCCGACGACTTTCATCTGCTACCAAGCTGTAATTACTATATGTGTGTGTGTGTGTGTGTGTGTGTGGTGGGTGTGTGTGTGTGTGTGTGTGTGTGTGTGTGTATTATGCAGACTCTTTTTTCTAGTAGAGAAATAGCCGACACAATCAGGAAATGCACTCGGTGATAAAGTCTGCACACTGATGAGATCAGCATGATGGAGTTGTTAAAATAATTTAAAGACCCATTTTTATTTATTTAATTTTCTTGCTGTTGCCTCTTGAGGAGCTGCTAGATTTTATCCCCTTTGTTTGTCATCTTTCCTTGCAGCGTTTCATTTCCTCCCGCAGACAGAGACGGCGATCGGGACCATAAGGACAGGGGACCGAACACCGGGAGCCACGGTGGGGTCGACTGGGGGTCAACCGGCGAATATGAGATTAAAATCCAGCCTCGATTATCTCCTGCTGACCTGCTGCTCACTTTAAATACAGCGGTTACATCACAGCGCTGTCTGCTGACCTCTGTGCTAGAAATGTTTCCCGAAAAAAAATGAAAATTCCCAAAAACACGTTTCTGTCTTAAATCGTATCAACGATAAATAAATGAAATAGAAACTTAATAAAAAAATTTCTATTTCTCAAAATTGCCAAAGCGGGCAATTTCTTGAAAATGTCTAAAACAAGATTAAACTTTTAATAATCTTATTTTAAATATATGAAACCATCTACATTCCTGTTTTCTATAAGCTCAGTTTTGACATTTCTATTATAATTCGGGATATTATTAATGATGACAGTGATATTTTTTTGGTAACAGTAAGGATGTTTTGCTTTCCAAAAATCTGAACATAAAATAAACACATTTTCTGCTATTGAGAGAAAAAGGAGAGTTTTGACTTTTTAACACAGGAGAAGAACCAGGTTTATAACAAAATATATTTTATTTCTACATTCTTTTGCTATATTAAAAATACACTTTATTACTCTAATTTCAAACCCAATAAAGCATAGAAACCCAGGACAACAATCTGAGACTTCAAAACATCTGCAAACCAAATTAGTAGCAACACAAAACAATAATAAATAGCAACAGAAAAGCAAATCTCACATTGAGTCAACCGAGTCCTATAAAGCTGTGTCCAATCAGCTAATACATCAAATAAATATGAACTGTGGTTCTGGTTCTGTAGTGCTTGTGCTGCAACTCCAAGAGCATCTAAGAAATGCACCTTGGTGAGAGAATAATCTGTAATACCCCAAAAAACAACAATAAAATGTTTACCGACAATAAAAAAGGCTTTTAAGGCAAAATGAATAACTGGTCCCTTAATCAGCCACACAAATTGGTCCATTCAGACTGAAATGTAAACAGAGATCATGTCAGAAAAAACCAATAGCAACAATATAAATATAGAAATCTGACATTACACAGAACCAGCCACAGGTGACGTCAAAGTGATCCAAACCCTGGAGCAGCTCATCCGACAGAGATCCAGCTGCCCACGACAACATGGACCTGACACCGGAACCAATATACACCAAACTGATCCCTGCTGGGATCCAGTAAAAAAAAATAAATAAAAACATGTTATTAATTTAAAAAATCTGAGTTGTTTTAAATACCTAAAGTCCACTTTGATACAAACTGAGTTTTGATATTTCCAGTGTAGCTCAATCTACAGCCAAAAAGCTGAACTGTCCCTTTAAAAAAAAAAATTTTCTGCTTTCAAGCATGAACTAAATGTTCCTCTGACACAAACAGGGGAGGCTGACCTCTTTCTCTGCTAGGAATCTGTAAAATTTCCTGGTGATGTTTTTTTTTTTTTTTTTTTTTCCTGAACATACTGGAGGAAATAATCTGAGCAACGAGAGAGAGAGAGAGAGAAAGAGAGAGAGAGAGAGAGAGAGAGAGAGAGAAAGAGAGAGAGAGAGAGGAGAGAGAGAGAGAGAGAGAGAGAGAGAGAGAGAAGAGAGAGAGAGAGAGGAGAGAGATGAGCCTCCAGCGGATGACTTGCTTTACTGCACATAAATCTGCTGTTTACAAACAAATTGATGAGTGATGGACCCTCCAGCCAACATCATGTTCCCTCCAATTTCTTCCTCTGCATAAGGACTGGGTCTCCAGGGCCCGCTTTGGCAATTTCTCCAACGTCTCGCGCTTAACGCGCAGACTGACGGGCCTGAATTATTCACCGGGATGAGCGCGAGGCAGCAAAACGGGGGCCGCTATCGTGCATAATCTCGCGCGCTCCGATTTAAATGAAGCTGTCATCCGGGTCAGATTTACATAACATCACAATGTGGGCCGACTGAGCGGCACTCTGAGCTTAATGTTATTAGCTTTTAAGTGAGTTCCCACTGTGCATTTGCATCGGGAGCATTGATTTTTTTTTTTTTTTTTTTTTTTTTTGCGTCCTTGACTTGGCTGAAGGCGGTGATGTAATCTCGGAGGCGGAGTTGCTCGCTGTTCAGACTGAAACTCTCCCGGAGGACTGAAGACTCTGAGCCGTCCCAGGGTTCATGAAGGCGGCTGGCTTCAGGTCAGGACCCGGCGTCCAGAACCAGACCCTGACGGAACCGAAGCCCGGTTCCTCTTGGAAACACGTCACAAGTCCATCATGAGATCAGATCCTTCAGACTAGCCAGCAGGAATTAGCAAACACTAACTGGTGGAACTGCACATCTGCTGAGCTCGTTATAGGAGCCACTGCTCAGTGCAACACTGGTAAAAAAATAAAAATAAAAAAAAGGAAAAGAATAGAAAAGTTAAACATTTGATAGAGGAATGTTGTGATGATGATGTGCTGACGGATGCATGTCAGAAAGCTCAAGAGTTTCTTAAAGAGACAGATGTCAATATCAAAACGTCAAATTATCAAGTCCAATTTTGTTTAAGTCATATTTGATATGTAAACATTGAGCTATAAAATGCCGACATGTAGCTGAGAAACACAATACTGGCCCTTTAAATGGAAAAGGTTAGGCAAGACACAAATTTTTTCTTTTATTCGCCCTTTTTTTCATTTATTTTATCGAGTCATGCTGCAAACATCCAGCAACCTTTTTGCTGGATGTTTGCTGAACACAGCCAAGGTTTCAGGAGGAAATTCTTGTTTTCGTTGCTGGAAATGAACAAAAATTGAATTTCTGCCTTTGAAGATTTTCGTCTTGAGGATTTTGGCCGTTCGATGGAGTCCAGAGGATTTCAGTTTCTCTCTTGCTTTTACATTTCTTAATCGTGAGGCATGATGTGTTTTCATTTTGAGATATTTCTTTTGCAAACTGTCGTTGGTATTAGCACTTATTTAATTATTTAAACCATTTAGAATCCAAAACAGGAAGCAGATACTTTTTGGGGGGGGGGGAAGATGGTCGGGGAAAGTTGTTCCAGTTGAGGGACTCTTAGCGTTCACACACTTCCTGTCCTGCTTCGCTCATCCTCGCTGGCAGCCTCTCTAACTGGCGTCACAGCAAAATAGAAACTCTTGCTCTCAAGGTAGAACATTCTGAGCAAACGACAAACAGGTCAGATGGATTAATGCAGTTTTGCCTTCTGCTTGTGATTTCTTGACATGCACAAGATGCGGCCACAAAGATTTGGGTGTAATAAAACAGCGCGTGCCCTGATGGTTCTGCAGGTTTCGCCTCAGAGTTCACTGCCGGAACGGTGGGACGAGGTTTCAGGCATGCGTAGACGGACCCTTCCAAGCTGAACATCTTTTACATTTAGTGTTAACGACTGTGGCTCTTTTGTTTTGGGACCAGAATATGAACGTGCTTTTCCTAAGATTTGGAACACAAAGTCAGCCCCCTCACACTGAAAACAAAGGACATTTGCCTAAAGTGCCAGGATTTCTGGAAGCGGCGCCGCTTCGCCAAAGGGCAATTTATTCTTCGCTAACAGAACCATTTGAGACGCCCTGCTGCGTGTTACTAAGTTACAGTTATACAACACTCAGAGAAATCAGTCTCCTGGTTGTCGTCTTATTCATACATCTGCATACACACACACACACACACACACACACACACACACACACACACAGTGTACCGCGTTCAGTAAAAATAACACTTCTATTCATCGCTCAAATCAACATTTGTCAATGTGAGGTTTCTCTGCTCCTCGAGGTTTACGATGGCATTTGCATGTACTTTTTCCTCATTGAATAACTTTGTTGTTGTTGTTGATTTGAACCAGAAATGATCGTATTTCTTCAGTGATTCGTTTTCTGTGTTGGGCTTTACTGGACCTATGCAAACCAGAGTGGAAGACAAACGACTCATGACAAACTGTTTGTGGGTCCTGCAAACGTTGAGTGTGTCTTGTTGCGATTTCATTCGACATACCAACACAAAGAAGCGTGTAACTGCGAAACGGTCTGCAAACGCCGGCCAACAGTACAGCTGTTCACCTGTTTGCCAATATTGGAACCCAAGTATTCAGTTGTCCACTGTGCTGTCGTTCCATTTCACCTAGCAGTCCTACAAAGAAGAATCCTATAAAACTTAATGTGTCAAAAATCCTGCTAAAATGTTTGTTATTGTTAATTTGCCACATTTAAAATGTTTTCCATTGTGTTTCTTGAGCTAACA